TAAATGTACTTCACAATTTCTCAAATTTTAATTTCTGAAATCTGTATAGTAAACAGGAAATAAATTGTATTAAATTCATCTTTTGATCTTCAGAAGACCATGAAATGTGGAGGAATCAGTGAATAATGGTAGCTATCATTCCCACTAATGATAGTAGCTATCATTCCCACTAATGGTAGTAGCTATCATTCCCACTAATGGTAGTAGCTATCATTCTCACAAATTGTAGTTGGTTCAGTGTTGCCAAATGAATTATTTTTGGTTAGATTTGGCTGATTTTTCCTAATTCAGCTGAAAAACAAACTACCATAGTTAAAAATAATAAGCAAAACATTTGTTACTTAAATAAATTCAGGAGATATTTTATTTTATCATGAAAATGTTTCAGCTAAGAGAAAATATTCACTTCAGAAAAAAAATTGTTTCTGCATGTCACGCGCACACACACAAACACACACACATTTTCATTTTTATCATATCACCCCAAGCAAAGCCACTAAGATGCAAGGATTACTAAGTGTGAAATAATATGAGAAAAAGAAAAACATTATAAAGGAGAGAAAACAATAAGAGAACAGGAATTAAGAAAGCAGGAAATAACAATTGACATTGCAATTAAATTTTTAAATTTAATAAAATGCATTCATTTCTTTATGAAACAACAAATAAAAAAAAACTTTAAATCAACAAAATTTTTCATTTCCACCTAACTTTATAGATAACAATGTTGACATGTAACTTATAACTTAGTATGGAATCAATGAATGATTCGTTTTAACATTTATGAAAATTTGTTCACTAAAAATAAGTCATTTCATTATGGCCCATGTGATCTGAGAGTGGTTCCTTAAATCCAATATTCTTTATTCTTTGGGGTATAAAATCAGGGTTTTACTATAACATTTTGGTATGTTTCTAAGCTACTACTGTGAATAAAACTGGGAGATATTCAAAATTCAACCTTGTTGTTTTGAAGTGCTGATAAAAGCCACTCGATGTAGAGGTTAAAATCAAAATGCTCGTTAAATAAGGTGTGATATGAAAGAAAGAGGAGGTGGAGATTATGACAAGAAGGAGGATAGATAATGATTAGCACTTGACTTGAAGAGGTTAAGATTGTAGTGTTCAGAAAAGTATTCACACAGTAGTCTGTTCAAGAAAATGGGAGTTCTCAGAGGAAAAGGCTGTCTGAGTAGAACTTTCTTCTTGCATTTAAAACACAGAGGAAATGCAGGTGATTTGATACTGTGGAAGTAACATGACATATCTTAGATGTAAAGGTCTGAAAGTGTCAAATTAAAGAATGGAGTTCAGCTAAACATTTTCCAGGGAAATAATGATACACTAGGTTTGTGATGTTGTGTCCAGGAGAAAGAAGCTGCAGAATGAAAAATAAGAACATGTAAATGATTTGAAGATCGAGTAATTATTAATTTTTTTTTTTTTTTGCCTTGTGCTCTTTGTCTAAAATGTTGTAGTTAAATCAACAAAGATGAGGATCCTAGTTCAAATAATTCATGGAATAAATCAGATAAGTGTTATTACAAGCAAGAGGATTTATATAACAACTGCATTATTTTTTTTTAAATCTTGAAGGAAACATTCTTTGTAGAAGGTCAAAATCTTCTTGCATAGATAGTTTCATTTTTTTGTCTTGCAGATGATGTGGCATTTTTAATGTATCTTTCCTTGCATAGGATGTAGTGTTTTTAATATGTCTTTCCTTGCATAGAATGTGTCCTTTTCTAATGTATCTTTCCTGGCATAGGATATGTTGCTTTTTGTCTTTTCTTGCATAGGATGTTTTGTTTTTGTGTCTATTTTTTGCATAAGATGTGTTTTACCTTTGTATTTTTTCTTGCATAGAATGTATTGTTCTTCAAAGTGTCTTTTCTTGGATAGGATAAGTTATTTTGTGTTTTTTCTTGCATAGGATGTATTGTTTTTTGTGTCTTTTCTTGGATTGGATGTATTGTTTTTTGTGTCTTTTCTTGGATAGAATGTATTGTTTTTTGTGTCTTTTCTTGGATAGGATGTATTGTTTTTTGTGTCTTTTCTTGGATAGGATGTATTGTTTTTTGTGTCTTTTCTTGCATAGGATGTATTGTTTTTTGTGTCTTTTCTTGCATAGGATATTTTGTTTTTTTTTGTGTTTTTTCTCACATAGGATGTTTTGTTTTTGAAAGTGTCATTTCTTGCATAGGTTGTTTTGCTTTTTGTATCTTGTATAAGGATGTGTTTTTATTTGTGTCTTTTCTTGCATAGGATGTGTTGTTTTTTGTGTCTTTTCTTGCATACTGCCTTCTTTTCATACTCAGTATAGATAAGATAATCATGGATAAAAATGGCTATTGGGGCAAATAGATCAGATGTTGAAAAGAAATAAAATTAAATTATAACTTTTTCTACATTATATATTTTCACATAATCTGTATCATATTAAAGATAAATATAAAATGAATGAATGACAATCCACTCTCTCTTAGGATGAAAAACACAGAGTTAGTACATGACTTTACTTACATATCTTTTCCTGTAATCTGAACTAATTTTTTTGAGCTTCATACTATGTTGATATTGTATAAAATCCTGGACAATGTGAATTATTTTTCATGACACATATATTCCAGAAGACTTGAAAGATTTATGAGACATGTATATTCTAGTAGTCATATGAGAAACATATGCATCAGATATCTCAAAAGAATAAAAAATCAGCACTCAAATTTCTGTTTTTTATTTTAACACCAACTACTCCAGTTAGTATGAAAATAAGCAACTATTTCAGCTACCAAGCAAAATATCTACTTCAACAATTTGGCACAAACTAGTTGGTAAAATTGTGTTGCACACACCCATAAGTGTGTAGTATATGGTTCACATCAGGAAATACTAGATAGTCTGAAATTAATTTAACGTTAATAAGGAACATTTGTTCTCAGAGAAGTTGGTTTGTGTTGACCCAAAATATATACTGGGCTCACCTTTAATGATACCAAAATAGATCTTGCACAACCGGATGACAGGATGTTATATAAGCACCCTATCTGAGAGGGAAAGGACAGAGAGTTTCTCACATCCTCACAAAAAGAAGATCCTATTTTGAAGACATCCCTCTAAGCCACAGACATTCACACTGATATTAATTGATGAAGTCTAGAGGTTAATAAACAATAATTTTACATATGAGAGATATAGTCTTCTGTGTTCTTATTAGTCTTTGCAATGATAACGTTACAACAAGAAGGTTAGTCTTGCTTTGAAAATCAGCATTTGAAATTCTGGTTCCGAACTGGTTTTAAATCACTGATACCAGCAACAAATATGTATCTACTATTGCCACCCTAGCAGATTAGTTATCCTCTCAAAGATAAAATATGTTCCTTTGAATTTAAAAACTATAAGTAAAGAGCATACACAATTTGTAGCTTTAATATGATTTTTTGCTGCTTGCTAGAATCTTTTCCATTAGGCCATTCATCTATTTACAAGTAAGAAGCCACTACCAGTTTCATGTGAATATGACTAGTTAATTCTTGCTGCAGACACCTGCTCAGGTACACAAGTTTCTTTGACTCACACAGAACCAAGCTGTGCTGAGTTGATTTTTGTTACAGTTTCTGTGAGAGAACACATAATCTGGCACGATCAATAGTTGAACAAGGCTAGTATGCTCAAACCCTTGGTCACGATGACTTGTGATTTTGTGTTAGCACAACTATCAATGGCTTCCAAACAGTTTTGTCTACCCAATTTTACTCACAAGGTTTGAGTCAATCCATGGTTTTTAGATATTTCCCAACAGTGCTGGGATCAGCTCCTCAGGCCAATATGTCACCTCCTTGATGAATTGTCCATATTGAGATTTGAACCCAGGTCTCTTGGTTGAAGCACTAACATTCTAACCACTTGGATATGCACCCACATTTATGAGTAAGGTAAGGATATTAAATTGCTGTGCTAGGGTTTTGGCCAACACTGCAAATTGTTACAAAACCAAAATATTAACCTAATAACTCAACTCATTTTATTAAATAGTCTCATCAGGTCAAGACATTTATATGGATGTTATGCATGGTGCCCAACCTATTCAGAAATATCTACTGTCAGCTATGTACAACCACTTTGTCAGATTGATGAATGAAAATGGCTTCAAGTGAATAAGTTCTGTAGGTCTTAGAGAGGACCATACTTCCTCAAACATTGTGGACTGGTTCTACAGTATCACAAACAAAGATCTGTACCAAAATAATAGAAACTACAATACTTGAGGACTTTCAACAGCAACAATAACTAAAATGTAACTCAGAGAAACAATAATGATATAAACAAGATGACATTCTACACCACTTCAGACAAAAGGTTAGGAAGGAAACACCCATCAATACTGGAGAGAGCAATAACAGTGAACTTGAGAAACTTATTTTTCTGAAAAACTCTTTGTAAAGAAAAATTTTAGAAATTTTAACCAATAATAGTACTGGCTGTTCAGTCAATAAATGGCAAATATTTTCTTATAGGGAAACAGCTAATATTACCATTACAATAGATATTTATTCACATTCCTCATCATTGAAGATATGCACACAAAAAGTACAGATCAATACCTTGCCAAATACATGGCAAAGAAAATTCAGAATAAGAGGGTTATATTGTAAATCTCCTGAATAGAAAGTGCTTACAGGCCTTGAAAATCCATATTCACCTAGGTTCATATACTTGATTGATTCATTTGTTCATTTGTTTTTTATGACTTATCAACCCACTACAAGCTATTTAAAGCCAGAAAATATTTTTAGATTGTAAGAATTGTTTTTGGTGATAATAATGGTATTAGTGATACAAGTTTTACTAATTAACCCATAGCTGGAGGGAGAAGAGGTGGATTCATACCTTTCCCATGCATGAAAGTGAATATAACAAACTCAACAGGAATTTGAACTTGACTCACCAATTAAGAATTCCAAGCCATTATCCATTACACCACCTACTCATCAGAGCTTACAGCACCTGGCATTCCCAAGAGGTCACCCATCTAGGTGCTGACCAGGCTCAGCATTGCTTAACTTTGGTGATCATATGGGAACTTGTGTTTTATCGTGATGTGGCCATAAGCCTAGATTCATATACTGACCGCTAGTACTGGTAGAAAATATGCAACTACTTTAGCAAATAATTAAACCATAAAGAGTTTATAACCTGTTTGCTAAGAAAAGTTGTATTCATAGTAAACAAATTAAATTGAAGTTTTATGTTTTACTGTGCAAAAAAATTTTTTTAAAAAGCAAGGTGAAGGTCACTTGTTTTGAGGTGTGGAGCATTTGTTTCCCCTTCAGATTTTTGGCACCAATTTAAACAGTTGTTATTTCACATCCTATGTATATTCTTTCACAAGTGCAGAATTGAAAGAACTTGCTACACAGTATTTATCATTACATTCTCTTTAGTATCACTTAGTAAACCAAGGTGTGTCACCTTGACTTTTGACCTCTCTATCATTTGAAGACAAGCCCTGTACAAGGAGATGCTGAAAAGTTCTCTTCACAACCTATTTCTAAAAATCTGATCAAATGACCCAAAATCTGATTTTTATTTTAAAGGGTTTCTTGTTTGAGCCAAGAGCTTTTCAGCACCCCTACTTAGTGCTTGTTTAAAACTGTCATTTAATCATAAGTTACAGTTTCTCTTTACCCTTTTCATTTTTTTTTTATTAATTAGTCTTTTTTTTTTGTCACCACGAAAACCTCTCAAGATAGCAAATCAGAATTTTGTCACTATTTTTACCAATGGATTTTAGTTAGTCATACTAATGCAATTATTGACCACACCTTATTATCTTCAAAATTAGGTTGTATTGTAGCATGTATGCAAACTCATGAAATAGGGCATATAAATATATTCACATGCACATATATATATGTGTGTATGTAAAGAGAGATAATGATTTACAATTAAGTCCACAACCTAATAGGGAATATTTATTTTACACAAGTGTTCTTTTGTCAACACACATGTTCCAACAGTTCCCCATTAGTCTCATAAATTAAAATAAATTTTATAATGAACATTTTTAATCAAAATTCACTTAAATACAGCTGGCTATGAACTTATATATAAAATTAAATTTAATCTTATCTTTTTTTAGATATTTAGAACATCGGAGTTACAAAAAGTCAGGTAATTTATAATTCTAAGAATTTTTGAAAAATTAATTTTATGTTTTACTTCTTGTTTTGAGTTTATGGAAATTAAAAAAAAAAATTTACCACAATTTATCACCACAAACAGACCCTTCTTATTTGGAAGATTGATACTAAACAATCTTCCTCTCCTAATTCCCCCCGCCACATCTGGTGTTGTGTCAAACAAAGCTAAATAAATATTCATGGATCTTACCAACTTTAAATAACAATAAGGTAAAAATTATTCAAGAGCAAAAGACGTTCATTTTGAAACAGAAGATCAAGATGTAATAAAAAAAAAATTCTTTCACAATATTTCTTTACATTGCTTTTAATCAAAGTGTAATCTTTATTCTTTTCATCATGTCTTCATTTGATCTTCATAAAGGTATACATATACATATAAATATGTATTTTAAAAAGTTTTTCAGAACCTATTGACTCTCTGCTTCACTAACTTTTCAATTATTTTACTTTTCTGTCAGCTTTTACAAGAGGAAGAAATTGTGTACACATGCACATATACATTCTATTATGCTTTGGTAAATTTTATATATGTAGTAGTAGTTAGTTAGTGCTACTATTAATTAGCATATGTATGAGTAGATGTTATGTATAAGCTTACTATGTAAAGTAGTGGTCATGGTACTTGGATCCGTACCAATCCTTCAGTATCTGTCTATATTTCTGAGATGAGGTATTATGTACATTATTTACATTATTCAGACTATTGTCCTCATCTTCGTCGCCATATTTATTACAATGTTTCAGCCTTTGTATGCTCCGGCCTTCTTCAGGTGGTTGGAATGTTGGACTTAACCCTTTATTTACATGGTACTTGGACTGTAGAAACAATATTGACTGCATACAACTTCAATTCCTACTTGGAATATCATAACAATATGGTGCTACCAATAGGAACTTTGTTGCATGTAGAAGACACAAACTTTGTTGAAACCTGAAGGAAATGCTTCACAGCACTTGCCAGAAGAAAATACAAATAGATGAAGAAGTTTGAGATCAATGAAGAACATAAAGTCTATTCACTTCAGGAAGATATAGTAGTGGTTGGTTAGTGCTACCACTAATTAGTATATATGTATGAGTAGACATTATGTATAAGCTTGCTATGTAAATTAGTGGCAATGGTACTTGAACTGTAGAACCAATACTGATTACATACAACTGTAACCATTACTTGTAGCATCATAACAATATACTCACAAGCCAACCATAGTGAGTTTTTCACTGAAAGCTACATGAATATAAACATGTTCTGAAATTGGCATTGTTCAACAAATATCTACTGTTATATAAATATACACACATAGTTAGGCTGTCTACATGATACATAGAAAATGAAACTAGCAAATTCAGTTCAAATTCCAGTTGCATGTATTAAGATTTTTTAAAATAGTTTTAAAATTCTGAATATTTAAAAAAAAATGTTTGTGTAAAATTAACTACTATGTAAATCTTTTTATAAAAAAACTTATTTAACATTACCGTTACAATATTTGAGTTGATGTTTGTAATTATATTCATTTTTAATATAGAATTTATGAAATGCATATTTGCAAAATCAACTGTACACTAAAAACTGCGTTGGAGATAGTTACTAAATTTAGTTAAATTTTAACCTTTTATAAAGCTATAAAATTCAGTAAATATACAAAAATAGAAAAGAGTGTAAGACAAAGATGTGTTTCTTCACTGGATTTATTCAACCTTTGCTGTGAGGAAATTCTGAGAGAATTAGAAGTTTCACCAGGATCCAATACTGTATTCATACATAAGTAAATCATTTTATTAATAATTATATATTAAGCTTAGCTAATCTACAATAAAGTTGAATGTGAAGATTGAAATAGATACCTTTCTCTCTTTTCCATGTTCCTTCCAAATAGGAGTAATCATGACATTCCTCAGCTTCCTGTCTTTTTTTTTTTTTTTATCAGCTGTACTTGCTGAGAAAAATAAAAAAAAGCCTCCTTTCCTATTTTACTAGTTTTGGAGAATCCTCTCAGATCAAGTACTTCCTGTCAGGAAGGTCTGTGAAAGTTGCTGTTAACGGCCAGTCCTCTGAGGCACATGAAATCAGTACTTTTCAATTTATGCTTACAGTCCACGGCTAATTTGCTCTCATCAATATGGCCCTTCACATTTTTTAACTGTGCAGACTTGGTTTAGAATGCTGTTTGGAACTGCTAGGTAAGCTTCACATATTTGGGAAGACTATTAGAATAATCCAGAATCTATACTGGCAGTAAACCAACTGCATATAGATAGAAAATGGATTCAGTAAATATACAAAAATAGAATGTAAGATAAGAATGTGTTTTTCACTGACTTATTCAACCTATACAGTGAGACAATTCTGTGAGAATTAGAAGTCTTACCTATTCATTATTGGTGCCCACAATCTTAACAAAAGATATGTAGATGACACAGTGTTGAAAGCAGACATAAAAAGAAAAATACAGGAACTCCCACAGAAGGTGGTGAAGGAAAGCAATAAGAAAGGACTAAATATCAATTGTAAGAAGAAAGAATGTATGGTTATCATCAGAAAGAAGAGTCCAACATGCAAATTACAAATTGGAGATACCAAAATCAAGCAAGTGCTAAAGCTTAAATATCTGGAAAATGTTTTAACAGATGATGGAAAATGCAACACTGAAATCTGAAGACACATTGGGATAGCAAAAATTGCCTTCTAAAAGGTGAGCAAAGTATTAAGAAACAGGAAAATCTCCTTAGAAACAAAGAAAAGAGTACTTAACTCTTATGTAATATCAGTCCTCCTATATAGCAGTAAATACTGGACGATATTTTTACGGATGAAGAAAAAACTTGAAGCAACAGAAATGTGATTCTACAGAAGGATGCTGAGAATACTATGGGCTGAACATGTGATCAATAATGAAGTTTTAGAGGAAACAGAAACAAAAAGGATGCCTATATTTAAATTGGAAAGAGGGAGTTGAAATTTCTTGGACACATAACAAGAAAAGAGGGCTTAGAAAATTTGACACTCACAGGATATATTGAAGGCAAGATGGACAGAGAAAAGTAGCTTGTAACCTACCTAATGAGTATGTGTAAATGGTTGATAGAACAGGGATTAGGAGAGACAGCAAAAAGACTAAATTTACTAAGCGGTATATAGTACAAGAAATTATGGAAAGCCATGATTGTCTACATCTTGAAGGGACATGGTACATAGAAAAAAATAATGGCGGCATCTCATAGTTTAAAATTACTTGAACTGATGGACATAATTAGTATTTTGTGCCACCTAAGACCACAGGTATATAAATTCCACCCCCTATTTAGCAGGGAATATTAAGAAAAAAATTGTTGCATGGTATCTTGTATGTTCCCTATTTCATCTACTTTAAAACAAGTTTCTTTTTGTATATTTATTATGAATTTATGAAATTCTAGTATTTCAGGAAAAAAGTAGATTGCTCCTCTCTTAACTCCAACTTGCTTCACTTCACATCTAGCACCACTACTCTGCATGGGCAGGGCTAAATTCTGCTCCTTCCTCCTTCCTTCTTGGTATTCTAACTCTGACCACTTCTCATGACTGGCATAACTGTCTTTGTGACAAATCTAATTTTTAAAGTGTGTAAAAGAAATGGTGTGGTTTATTCTCCTCATTAATTTCAATTCTCTGACTCCCTTTCTTGGACGCACATATCCAAAATGTACCATTAGTGCAATGGATTCAATCCTCATAATGCTCTACTACTATGACCTTGTGCCAGACTTAGGAAATTTTAGTAAATAATTGTATAGATATTCACAAAGCTCAGCTTAATATGGCACAAGATCAATTTGTGGAAAATAAGTGATAAGAAAATTGATATTTGTGTAGATACCCTTTAGTCTCTTGTCCCCCTCCCACTTAAATTTCTAAAAATATCTTTGTTGAGTTCATGAAATTTGCCACAATATCCATCAAATTCAATTTTACCAATTTATAAAGAAATAAATATGAAAACAATTTTTTATTCATAAGTTTATAAAAATTTACTAAATCATAAAAATATATGAACCAACTACTGACCGGGCTGGCATTCAAACATTTAACTTTCACGCAGATAGTCGACTTCCTCACGCATTTTGCCCTCAACCTGGCAGGTAAGGCTTACCTTCTCAATCTGTGTTTTACCTCCATCCCCGAATCTTGTAGCGCCACACAGCTCTGCCTGCTTGGTAACTCCGATCACGCCGTGGTATCTGTCAACATTTCCTTCAACTCCACACCCCGCAAAGAACCTCCCATCACTAGAACCTCGTTCTATTATCAACGAGCGGATTGAGACTTGTTCCGTGACTTCCTCCACAATGTCCCCTGGGATGTTGTCTTTACACTCCCTGTCCAAGAATGTGCTTCTGAGGTCTCATCCTGGGTTAAAGCTGGAATCGACACTTTCATCCCCTCAAGGAAATTTAAGGTCAAGTCGCACTCCTCCCCTTGGTTCTCCGCTGCTTGCACGGCCGCCATTGCCCATAGGAATCACTTCTTTCACCGATTTCGTAGCGACATGTCGGACTGCAATAGATGTCTCTTTGCCTTCGCCCGTAATGAGTGTAAGCGTGTCCTCAATGAAGCTAAGTCAATATTTGCTGCTCGGATGAAGGAACGTATTGCATCTCGCAAATTTGGCTCCAAAGATTATTGGCGGGTCTGCAAGAGTGTCCTGAACAAAAGAAAACCCTCCATACCTCCTTTATTCAACCAGTTTGAGGTTTTGACCTCCTCTACCGACAAGGCTGAATGCTTTGCTCGGAAATTCTCATTTAATTCAACACTCGACTCCACCAGTGTACCCATACCAGACTTCCCTCCAAGAACTGAGGCCCTATTGAGCGGCTTACACATAACCCCGTCATTGGTACTGGGCATTATTTCCAACTTAGACCCCCACAAGGTTAGTGGTGGAGATGGCATACCAGCCATTGTCTTGAAGAAATGCGCGCCTGAGCTAGAACCCGCCCTCTCTAAACTGTATAATTACTGCCTCAAGGAATCCTGTTTTCCTGACTGCTGGAAGTCCTCATTCATTGTTCCTGTGTTTAAGAACTCTGGAGACCCCTCTGACCCCTCTAATTACCGTCCTATTAGTCTCCTACCCCTCTTCGGCAAAGTCTTCGAAGCCCTAATCAATGCTTAAGTGGTTAACCACCTTACATCCCATAATCTGCTCTCAGACAAGCAATATGGTTTCCGCTATGCCCGATCTACAGCTGATGTGCTTACGGCCATCACTGAAACCGTCTACCCAAACCCTTCAAAATAACAGTGAGGCTCGTGCCGTGACCCTAGACATCTCCAAAGCATTCGATAGGGTTTGGCACGCCGGCCTTCTTCGTAAGCTCCAGGGTTATGGTATTACTGGTCGACTGTTTGATCTAATACAATCATTCCTGTCAAACTGTGAATTGAAGGTCATTCTCAACGGATTCTCCTCCAGTTCCTATCCCACGAACGCAGGTGTTCCCCAAGGTTCCATCCTTGGCCCCACTCTTTTCCTTATTTTCATCAATGACCTTCCTGATGCCATAGATTCCCAAGTTGGCATCTACGCGGACAACACTACAATTTACTCCTGCCTCAAAAACAAATCTAGTGTCGGCGACAAAACTAACCTGGCCGTGCGTCTTGAAATGGACCTCCAATCGGTTGTTAACTGGGGCAAGAATTGGCTGGTCAACTTTAATGCCTCAAAAACTAAATTACTCTCCATTAACGACCATAGAGATCCTTCCCTGCCCCCCATTAAAATGTCTGATAGTCAACTTCCTGAGAGCAACTCCCTGTGTCTGCTCAGTCTCACGCTGACTGCTGACCTGAGATGGAACAAATACATTGAGTCAATTGCTTCTTCCACCGCGAGGAAAGTTGGCTCTCTGTGCCGCGCCAAGAAATTTTTCTCCCCTGAATCGATACTTCAAATATACAAAACATCCATTCACCCTTGCATGGAGTATTGCTGCCATATATGGTCTGGAGCCTCTTCTGTTTGCCTCGGGGTTCTTGATAGGCTCCAGAGGCGGATATGCAATATAATTGGCCCTGATCTGGCATCTCGTCTACAGTCACTTTCTCACAGGCAGCACGCGTCGCCTCTCTCTCTGTCTGTTTTACAAATACTTTCATGACATTTGCTCCGAGGAGCTGCATTCGCTGTTCCCAGACTCCATGAATTCAAGCGCCCTACGAGGCTGGCATCGCGCTCCCACCCTTACACTATAGAAATTTTTAAATGTAGCCGTCTCTTCTACTCCAATAGCTTCATACCTCGCACCTCTCACCAATGGAACACCCTTCCCAATTACTGTTTCCCTGAAAGCTATAATCTCCAACTATTCAAATGTAATGTCAATGGACACCTCCAGTTACCTTGATCTACCCACTATCCTTCTACTCATCCTTTCTTCTATCACTCCTATCCGCTCTTGCCCCAAATCTTCCACAACCCCCTGCATCCTAGTGGCTTCACACCTTGCTCTGGGCATAATGTTTAAAAAAAAAAAAAACTAAAATGAAATTATTATTTATCATTTTATAAAGTTCGAATTGATTAGCAATTTGCCAGTGTTTTGTCAACCATTCTAAAGAACACAATTTTGTAGGATTTTATAAACTTTTGAATAAAAAGATTTCATTTCAAATTTATTTCTTTATAAAATGATAAATAATAAATCTTATAAAATAGTAAATAATAGATATCGCATTGTCCTTGTTTCGCATATTTTTATAATCTTGTAAATAAACATTACTGAAGACTATTAAAGTTATAACGGTGTCAACAGAAAAAAAAAAACGTCCTTTTGACATAATTTTTTTGCAGGCACAATGGTTAAACATTGCCAAAGTTTTTTTTTTATAACTCATTAAATGAATTACATCCAGCTCAATAGAAACATTATGGCATTACTACATTCTTTTTATTGACATAGTTTTAAAAAAAACAATAAAGTAATTTATTTGGTCACTTGATTTTTTATGCTTTCTGTTTGTTGAAAAAGTTAACTGCAATTTTATTAGTTACTTTTAAACAAAATTAACAGATGATTCTTTTTCGTTTGTTCTCAGACCATGAAAGAAATGCTGTATGCTGCTCAGGAACAAGCACCGTCATCTGAAGGTGGGTAGAGATTTTTTTTTCAGAAATGAGAATTTCATTTTAATTTTCAAGACTTAAATTTGTACTTTTCATTTTCCCATTAAATAAACTGATTAAACAAATTTTTGTACTTTTCTATTATCAAAACCAATTTTTTTCTAAAGATTTAGGTTAGAATTATTAAACAAAATATTTATTTTGTTTTAGATTTTTTTCTCAACTATAACAAATTAATTATAGCTGAAATTCCAGAGGCCATAACATTATCATTGTTTCCAGAAGTAACTCAATTTGTTTTTAATCATTTAGCTCCAAGCAAGACAATAAAGCCACTAAGATATGTGGGATTAGTGAGTGTGAAAGAATATAAGAAAAAGAAAAACAGAAAAGAAGAGAGAACAATAAAAGAACAGGAATTAGGAAGGCAGTAAGTAGATAGTTTTTGGAGATCACGGTTGACTTGAAAGCAAGAAGGTGGAAGAGAGTTCCACAAGAGAGAAACACAAGAAATCTGTTAGCATAGAACTTACAGTTATATTTAGCCATTTCAATTGTAAAATGATGAGACCTAGCTGCCAATCTAGTACTGTGCTTAAATTCATAAAGTCTAGGTACCATAGAGGAAAGTAATATTTATTTTGTAAAAATATAAAAGTGTGGCACAAGACCAAAAAGGGGGTATAGGTAGACCACTCTTCATATGTCTTATAATTAAACTTAGCTAGCCAAAATTAATGACCCAAACATACCCCAGTATTCCTTACACCAAAATAACACATTCTTACTTACCATTCTTAATACAGCCACCACAATACTTCAGAGTCTCTATGAAGTCATAACTAGTCCCATATGTACAATTTATCTGTGGAGGATTGGGAATAAAATAACAATTTTTAAAAATACTATTGAGGAACGTTCATCAGAATAATTACCATGAAAGTATTTAGAGAAAAGGTATATTATGGCAATGGAAAAGTGACTGAAGTGGAGATGCCAGATCAGGACCAATAATATTTTATCAAAAATCTCTAAATATATAGCAGGAGCACCAGACTATATGTGGCAGCAATATTCAGAGCATGGATGAATGGTAGACTTAAAATATATAAGATAGATCCTGTCAAGAAAAATTGTCTAGCACAATACAGTGAATCAATTTTCCGAGCAGCAGACCTAGCAATTGATTTAATATACTCTTAAATATGCCATCATCTTCAATGGCTGTCAGTAATAGGAAAGCACCCAAATTTCTATTAAGAAATATGATCCTTTGCTATTCTATAATTTATTCAGACTAGCATCTTCATTGTTGTTATTTTGATCATGATGTTCTTTGCTGATGCATTCTTTGGAGGGATATATGGATTCACATAATGGTTATCAGTATTGGAAATGAAATCAGCAGTTCAAATTTCAGTTGAGACATTTTATGTTAATTTTGCACTATGCATAAATCTATCCATTCATTCTCTCCCCAGTTTTTTTTTAAATGCAACCAGTCTGGATTCAAAATCATGATGGAGTCAGCCATGCCACTACCTTTCTCAAGAACAATCATGGCAATTTATAGATATTAAAGAAAAGGAAGCTATGTTCACATAAATCCTGAACAGAGCTGGCATTAAACAAATTTATTTAGACTTATGTCAAGTGTTTGCTGCATTAAGTAGTGTTGGCCAGGGCTTTTTCTATTCTTCATAAGATCAACACAGCTTACATTTCACACATCAGTGTGAAAACTTCATCCTCAAGAGGAAAACATTTTGATTTACACTCAAGTCTACCAAACCAAAGAGAAATGTGTTGGGTACTATGCTAAATAGAATGTCAACTTAAACATCTTAATCAGAACAACAAAGATAAGGATACTTGTCCAATCCAAGTAATTTCCACTCAGACAGCTTTTTCCTAAGAACTACTATTTCATGGAACAGACTTCTACATGATTGAATTCTTCAATCTGGTGTTCTATATATAAACAAAGAGCTGTACTAGATAACAGAAACCACATCATTTGTGGACTACTAACAACAGAAACAATTAAAATAGATAGCACATATAACTTGAAGAGAAAATAATGACATAATCAAGATGTTAACATTCCACACCACTTCAAGTAAAAGGCTAGGAAGGAATCCTCCCCCCATCAATACTAGAAAGAGTGAGAAAAACTACTGGATTTGAGAAAGCTGTTTTCTTAAAAATTGTTTTAAAAAAAAGATTTTATAAATTTCAGCTTAAAGCTATACTGGCTGCTCAGTCAATGGATGCCAAATGTTTCCTTGTAGGGAAATGGCTAATATTACCATTACCATTTACAAGATAGTATTGGAAGTTCCCAGTCTAGACCTAAAAAATTACACCTTTACTCCAATAAATAAAATATTTCATATATTATTATAAATTTATCCATAATCCCCATCAAAATAGTCTAATGTGAAACTTACACAGTAATCTCAGTGTCTCAATACTACAAAAGGACCATAGTAGTCCTTTTGTAGTACATGAAGACCATCCAATATAGTTTACTTTTTAACTGATTGCAATCATATCAAAGAACTGATGGATTGTTTGGCAATAGTTCACAAATTTCTTTTTATATTTCCTGGCATTTTGTTGGTGATTGGCCACCTTGAATATTCACCAACTTGAACTGATTCTTAGCCAACCTTCAAACATACATGCCACTCAAAAACCTGTGTTTGATTTAAAGAATATTTACCAGGAGCCTGAAAAAACATTTTGAAGGTCTTGATAGCAGATTTACTAAGGTTTATGTGAAATTTGATGCAGGCATGTTGGTCGAATTTGTCAGCCACACTAAAGATCACAGAGGCATTCCAACAGATTATAAAACTGAACATAAAGTACATAGCATATTGACAGACTGACTCAGTAGGCTGGGTACCAAAGATTATTAGCTGTACATGCATTTCTGTTGAAGAGTACAATCACAACATTTACAGTCTGGAAACTTTCCAATATAGGGGATAGATAAATATGCATACATGTACCAGTTTGAAAACAAAAGGATAAATGTGAGTCAGAAAATAATTCTTCTTTTTGTAATCAGAATCTGATTAAACAAATAGAAAAAACTTTGGTTTAAGTATTATATTTTGATATTTTTATATAGTTATGTAATTATACTGTGCCAACCAATGATAGCATGAACTTAATCGCTTATATTTAATATTTCATTTTATTCAGTTCCATACTTTGTCAATTAGTCTTGGCCAATGTATGTGAATACAACCCCAGACTCCTCAGTGGAAATGTGAACCTTATATTCTCACCTGCAATGCCTGAGAGACTATCTGTTTCCTCTCTGGGTGTTTTTATATCTATGATAGAGCTCTTTCCTATGGTTGTTATCCAGTTGCAGATGATCTGGTCACATGAATCTGTATTTGGTAGTCAGGTCAAACCTGTATCTTCTCAAAAGAATGCTGAGTACAAAGTCAATACTGGGATGATCTGCGGTGAGAAGCATACTACAATTATATCAAATTCATAAAAAGCTAGCTAAGAACTCATTGAACATTAATATGGAGACAGAAAAAATCAGTAAACTAGCAATGGAATTATAAAGATATAATGGCTGACTGGCTGCTCATATTCGAGTATGCCTGCCTACTAGGGCAGCTAGCCAATCCCTGTTGAGGACACCGGCTCAGACACATATTGCTTGTTCAACACCTACAGAACCCACCTGTGGTTTATATTGCAACTATGCTAAGTGAACTTTAGTTACACTTTCTGGGAGTGAGCACATTATCTGGCATGATCAACTGTCTGAACAAGACCAGTACACTCAAACACTCAGTCACAATGACTTGTGACTTCATGCTAACACAACCATCAGCAGCTTCCAAATAGTTCTGTCTACCTAATTTGACTCACAAGGCTTAGGTCATAGTGGTATAGTTTTCAGACACTTTCCAAAGATGCCACACACTAGGATTTCCTCCCCAGGCTGATAACATCAAGAAGTCACCTTCCTTCCTTCCTGATGGATTGTTTGGCAATGGTTCACAAATTTCTTTTCATATTTCCTGGCATTTTGTTGGTGATTGGCCACCTTGAACATTCACCATCTTGAACTGATTCCTTCAAACATACAAAAACCTGTGTTTGATTTTTCTATGGTGAGAGTTGGACCCAGGTCTCATGGTTAGAAAGCAAACTTTCTAGCCACATGTCCATTATATAAGGATATAGACAAAAGATATGATGAAATTATTGTGTAACTTTTAATGTTGATTCTGTTCACTTAATTTTTAGATCTAATGACTGCATGTCAATGCTTTAGTTAATCATCTAGATTTTTTTTTCTTAATAGATCTGTATGCATGAAATAAAATGTTTGTACAATATCATATATCTGTTGTTGTGAACAGTTTAACAAAATTCCAATTCCATGGTATCTATGTCAAAATGTTTAGATCAGTCAGATGACACAGTGTTGATAGCAGACATGGACAGAAAACTACAAAAACTCCTACAGAAAATAGTGAAGTAAAGCAGGTAGGAAAGATTAAGCATCAACTGCAAGAAGACAGAACGCATGGTTGTTATCAAAACAATGAGTTCAAAATGCAAATTGGAGATACCAAAATCAAACAAGTACAAAAATTAAAATATCTGGGAAGTGTTTTAACAGAGGATGGAAAGTGTGACACTGAAATTCAAAGGCATATTGGGATAGTGAAAGATGCCTTCCAAAAGCTAAGCAAAGTATTAAGAAATATAAAATTTTTGTTAGAAACAAAGAAAAGAGTGCTGAGCTGTTATATGATATCTGTCCTCCTATATAGCAGTGAATGCTGGACAATCTCCACAAAGATGAAGAAGGGACATGAAGCAAAAGATAAAATTTATTAAGAGTTACAAATAACAGGAAATTGGCCTTATAAAACAAATCAATCAATTGATTGATTTTAAGCATAACCACTTTTAAAATTAACCATTGCTTAGCTCTTTTGTGACATGCATTGGTTTTGACAACAAATAGGCAAATG